CAAATTATAGGAAACACCTTCTCGGAACCGTCAGGGCATGGTCGGAAAGTTCCTAATTGGCAAATTATTTTCAAATCTTAATTTTTACAGTGTACTGTGTACAGACACTAAGCTTTGTATTTCAAGCTGAAAGTGAACCAGTTTCCGGCTGTCAGCCAGGGTGGAACGAAAACATCGATGTTGTTTTTTCGCTTTCAAAGGCAGGAAAAGGGGAGAAATTTCCTTGCATAGACACTTCTGCATTCACCAATACTGAGAAATATTTGCAAGACTTTAGGAGTTCACTTTGTCTATGATTTATCTTTGTGAGATAATTGTTGTTACTGCATGGGGTAATTGGGGTTGGTTGGCCACCCAACGTTTTACATATGTGAGCTTATTATATTTAACGATGAGTTTATTATTTTTTATAGAGTAAAAAATGCTGTCATTATCAGATGCTGCACAACTTGAATCACTTGGTGACAAAGCCGTCGCTCGATTCAAGCCATGGTGGGAGGTTCTTACATTTTACAGCCTGAATGGCCTGTTGATGGCAGTTCTGTTTGCATTGGCAGGCATTACCATTTCTGGTACCTATAACATCTGGTGTTTTCCAGAGGGAAATAATACTAATTTGGATTATACAGTGATGAATTATGCCAGCTCCCGATGCTCAAGAATATTTGAAGGAGACTATCTGATATATTTCCCATATTGGATGTTCTTGGAGTGGAGCATATTCTTTGTCATCCATTTGCTATGGTTTAAATTGCCTGCAACATTTTTCTTATTCCAACAACTATCGGATGTGTTTGCTGAATTCAGTGCTATAAAACCTGTTGAATACAACACTGAAAAACGAATTTCAAGAGGTACTGTACTGTAATGTTTTATAAAATCAGGCTTATGACACCAAAATACTTGTTTAATTTAGCCTAATTATATTAAATCTCAAGTTTAAATTTTTACATGTCACTACTTGTAAAACCTGAAAAACCTGTAGATTCAACTACGTGGGGCCAGTTGTATAAGACTAATTAACTTTTAACTCTAGTTAAGGACAGAATTGGCCAATGAGAGATGTGTATTTCTGAGTTAACTAGGATTTAACTATGCAAAATGTAGTTAAACAGTTTTATACAACCGGTTCCAGGACAACTACCCTCTAACTAGTGTAGTTAATTTTTTTTTTGGCTGATTCCAGAGTAAAGACCACATTAGGCTCCATAAGATTAAGATTTCTTTACTTCCTTTTTTGTTAAAATGGATAGTTCAATGTCTTTTTATTGTTTAGGTAATGCTGGTTTGAGCAGCAAATTGACTGGTCTTCATCTGAGACAAAACAAGGAAACCAAACAAAAAGTCAGAAATCTGGTTGACCGCCTCCTGGAAATAGTCCAAGAAAACAACCATTTAGTGTTTATGTACACTGTGAAGGCAATCTTTCTCTGTGTTTCGAATGCTGTTGTGACTGTTGTGTTAGTTTTGTGGCTCTATGGTCGACAATGGCATGCATCATTCCCCTGTGATCTATCCAATCACATCCCTCTCATATACGAGTATTTAACATGCTCACTTCCTGCAGCACCCTTTCTTTATGGATTGATGATCTGCAACATTATACTTGCTTTTTGCATTTGTGTTTGCAATATCTTCGCGCTAAAGTGGGTGATAACATTTCGATTATCCACGTACTCGCATTACAAGAGCGCTTTCCAAAAATGGACGTCGTTCGTCGATAAAAAGGGGTTTTTGGATTTCTGTTTTTGCCTGGATTTGACCAGCTGTACTAGCAAAGATGGTAAAATACTGGGAGATACCATCTACTCCAGTCTAAAGCTCTACCAGAAATCCGATAAACATACGTCACACGTAGAACTTATACAGGAGATCAATAAAAAAGCAAGTTTTTCGTCCATGTTTCACCAAGGAGAGGTGATAGCCACTGAGCTAGGACTGAAAATTTTGGAAGGTAATGTGTCGGATGATTGTCTGTTTAATGCTATAGCAAAGGTAAATGGCATTGAAACGGAAAACGTTTTCGATGCAATCGTCCACGAATTGACAACTAAGATGCACGTTTACAAGGACCTCGTTGACCTCGATCTGAATTGTCCCGGCTTTGAGGAGTGCGTTGGATTGATACGATCAGAAAAGAAGACCCCAAAAGAATTTTATCATTTTGCACTAATGGCTGCATGTAATGCGTTCAGTGTTGATATTCTTGTCCTCAGTACTGGCGCTAAGTGTTGGCATTACAAGGCAACCGACAATGGCGACACGGCTTCATCTACGCCGACTAAATATTTGTTCTTCATCCATCCAAACTATTACACGGCCGTTATAGAGGAGGTGAATGAAGAAGACAAGAGAGATAAGAGACGGTCGTTTATCTCTGATCCTGACTATCGCAAACAGCTTCAAAATCAATCCCGTACCTCTTGGGAAGATGTTGGAAAACGCAAATACCAAAAGACAATGAAAGATTTGAATCCTGAAATCCTGTCTTATGGAAAAGCTACCGTTCCACCAACCAAAGCGCCGACCAATATTTTGGCTGATTTATTCAATGAAACTGGGAAAAAGATTTCCAGACAGATTTTGAACAAAATTTACATTCCTGGTTTAACCAACCAGCAGCACTAAAATGAAACAAAATGTTTTCCTTATTCTTAAAATTTTGTTTGGATGTCTGACCAGCTGATCGTTTACAACAACGAAGTTTTTAACTTGTTCCTCTTTCCATCTTTCAAAAGGCCTGGGACTAGTTCGTATAAAGTAATTTTACAAAAATCTTGGGTAACTAAAAATAACGCGATCTGTTAAAAACATTTATGCCATGTTCACAGTCTTGACACCAAATCGAACGAAACGTTCACAAGTTCACAAGTCAATATTTGTGTATTTTTTGCGAAAATACACAAATATATAGCGAGTTTTACTCTCTGTAATTTGTTCTAAAAAAATTTGTCACACAAAATAGCTTTGAGTGGTTATTTAGAGCTTGATGAGATGGACTGACTGGAAAGATCATTAGAGAGCTTTAGCAATGACTACGAGTACGAGATTCGTCATTCTCGCGCGTTGTTTGCTTACGCCATCAGCCGAAACTCGTAGTCGCTGAGCTTTCGAGTACGAACTTTATCAAAAAACTGGTACTCAAAAGCTCAACGACTACGAGTTTTTCTGATGGCGTTGGCAAACAAGGCACGAGAGTGACGAATCTCGTACTCGTAGTCGTAATCGTAGTCACTGCTAAAGCTCCCTATTGTTTGTAAGAAAGCTGTGGCCGCACGGGAATTATGGGAAGCGAGGTGCCAAATAGCGCGCACAGGTGAGGGACTGTGGAAGAGTCAGTACATAGTATAGGTCAGTAACGCGAACAAATAAAAGAAGAAAGCGTATCTACTTTTTCGCGACGAATTTTTTCGCAAACCAGTCACATCACCGGATTTCAGATATCGCTTTGCGTCGTGCGAATAAATTCGGCTATTGGAAAACGGGCTTAAGAAACACGTTGGTCGTTGTCATGGAGGACATGAGAGATATGATTTTTAGAGCACGCCACGTACTATTGAGCGGCTTACCCTCTTGGGCGATAGTTAACAAATGGCGCAAGCTAAAATCACGACTAACGTGATATTTAAGTGTTTAAGTAAGAGGTGTGAAATGTGAATGTGTATTCAGGTAATTGCACTCATGAAGCCCCGGGTTAACGGACCGAAAGCTTTGCAGTATTAAATACTTACGGGGGTACCTACAAGCTAAATTACTTATCGATTATCAGCATGCAAACATTCAAGAATATTAACAGTAGGTTGGTTGTAAAACGCCTCACAAAAATCACAACTCACCAGGTTACCACCCTGTATGGGTTTGCTCTTTCTCATGCACTAAAAGAGACTATCTATCTATAAGAATTCTGATTTATACAAATGAATAAAAGCTTAGTCAGAACTTCAAACATTGATTGTCCTTTTAAATCAATCCGAACTGATTTATTAAATCCATTGGTAAGAGATACAAATACCAATTTGACTAAAAAAATGGCGTCTCATCTTTTGTCCTAGTAATGTATTTGGCACATTGATTGTCTCAAAAATTTGCTAATTTTGCTTTTAATATACAGCCTAACAAATATAACAAGAGCATATTTAATGCCTGTTGAAAATCTCCAAACAATTCCACAATCTCACACTCTGGGACTCTATACCTATCATTCTACAATGATTTATTCAGAATTCAACACTTTACAACAAGCTCTATGGTACTGTCTAACCACGATACTATAATTCGCGATCTAATACACAACACTACAACAATGATTTTAACCTAAATTTATAATAACAAAACAGGATGCTTTACTATTCAATCATGCAATTTAGACTACACCATAAGTTGTATGCAATTATTACTCTGACGGATGTAAAAGAGGGCCTATGCAACAATCGTCATTCATATTGTTCAGGGTGTCACGTTTGTACGTGTGTTCACACGTTCACATACGCCAGGGTACGAATCGTATACGACAAATCGCGTAGCGTTAATGCGCCTTTACAAGACTATATAAGATGTTTTTCTGTAGTTTTAGCTCCGCTACAAACCGATTACGTTATTACGGACCTTAAGATACGCCAAATCTACAACGCGGACGTGAAGTAAAACTGCCTTCATTTGATAAAAATTTTGGGCTCTATGTGGTAAACAACGACATGCAGAGCCAACTCATTCCCGGCGTGTGTTTTTGTGGCAATAACGAGAGCTGTATGTAAACTGGGTTCTTAACATGTCACGCATCTGCCGTCGCAGATTTGGTGTTCCTTAAGGTCCCTATTATGTGGGCCGCTGTTTCTGCGGTTGCTACTACGTTATATACCTCAAAATTTATATCAGTTTCCTATGCTATATGATACTATCCCTATGCATGCAATTTCTACTACACTTTTACTATACAGTATCATTTAAGTGAGAGCCTAATTTCTGCAACAATGTCTTTTGCAGCCACAGGAACATACCATTTAGCAAAACAGTTTACAGCCATCACTCTCCAGAGCTGCATCTCTTAAACATTTAGCACCTTCAGCTGTTAAACCATTGTCACTTACATATAGCTCAGTAAGTTTACAGTTGTCACTTTTCAGAGCATCACTTAAATATTTAGCACCTTCAGCTGTTAAACCATTGCTACTTACATATAGCTCAGTAAGTTTACAGTTGTCACTTTTCAGAGCATCGCTTAAATATTTAGCACCTTCAGCTGTTAAACCATTGCTACTTACATCTAGCTCAGTAAGTTTACAGTTGTCATCCTCAAGAGCCTCACTTAAATATTTAGCACCTTTATATGTGAAAACATTATCATGGACATCTAGCTTAGTAAGTTTACAGTTATGACTCTTCAGAGCATTACCTAAATACTCAGCACCTTTATCTGTAAACATATTGTCATGTACATCTAGTTCAGTAAGTTCACAGTTGCGACTCTTCAGAGCATCGCTTAAATATTTAGCACCTTCAGCTGTAAAATAATTACCACTTACATCTAGTTTAGTCAGTTTACTGCTATCACTTTTCAGAGCATCGCTTAAATATTTAGCACCTTCAGCTGTAAAAACATTGTCACTTACATCTAGTTTAGTAAGTTTACAGTTGCGACTCTCCAGGGCATCACTTAAACATTTAGCACTGTCAGCCGCTAAATCATTGCTACTTACATCTAGTTCAGTAAGTTTACAGTTGTCACTCTTCAGAGCCTCACTCAAATATTTAGCACCTTCAAGTGTTAAAGCACTGCCACTTATAACTAATTTGGTAAGTTTACAGCTGTCAGTCTTCAAAGCTTCACTTAAATATTTAACACTGTCAGCTGTTAAATCATTGCTACTTACATCTAGTTTAGTAAGTTTACAGTTGTCACTTTTCAGAGCATCGCTTAAATATTCAGCAGCTTCAGCTGTTAATAAACCATCATTGTAACTTACATTTAGTTCAATAAGTTCACTGTTGCCCCTCGCCAGGCCATGGTTATCTTTCTTCAAAAACTCAGCCAGTTCACGGATAGCAATGTTCGTCATAGTACAACGCTCGATTTCAAGCTTTTTCAAGTTCTTGATGTGGCTTAAAAATTTGAACGAAGCCGTAGTTTCTGCCGGTGCAATATTTAATCCTCTCAAAGCGAATGTTTCATCATCATCAACATCCTCATCATCATCATCATCATCATCATCATCATCATCATCATCATCATCATCATCATCATCATCATCATCTTCTGACGAAAACGACGAAATCATTTCCATGACGCGATCTTCTTGCATTTCCCAAACACATTTTATGACGAGTAAACTTTTGTTATTGCTGTCGTCAATGTATCGCTCCTTTGGCATCCAGTCTTGAAATCTAGATAAAGATCATTATTTTGAGAGAAATTTCACAAGTTTAGGACTATAAAATCAAGGAAACTTCGTAATCGGTGCTCTGAAAACGACAGAGACGGGTCCTAGAAATGGGATTTAGTTCCTGGGGGGATGGGATTTGACTCATTTGACCCTTTTAAAAGCGGCGATTTTTACACTCGGACTGGGATTTCTTATGAAGTGGAATTTCTTTTCGCTTTTAGTGTCCGACTAGCGTACGCGATCACATATTCATGTTAAGGCCGACACAGACCGGACGCGAATTGGCAACGCGGCGCGAATTTTCAACGTTTTTAATTTTTCAAAATCAAAAAAATTTTAAACGATCATAATATTCTTGTATATTGCATAACAATAAAACATTTTAACTGCTCTAGCGTCCATAGTTTCCAAATTTTGCTTCCAGAATTTAGTTTATATGCTTCTGAAAACTCAAAATTCGCGTCGCGTTGCCGCATCGCGTGCGGTCTGTGTCGGCCTTTAACCTTGCCGTTGCGACAAAGCAGCACCAAGTCCGCAATCGCTTGCGTCCTTATATACAACGAAGGGAGCAGAGAAGTCCGGCAGCGACTATATTGCATAGGTGGTATTGCATGGCGTGGTACACAGACGGTCCTTAAGCTCATTGAACGACCTGTCGGCTGATGGCGTTCAGTTAAACTCTGCTTGGTGCTTAGTCATGTGCAGAGTAGCGATATCCGCGAAATTCTTTATAAACCTTCGATAGTAGGACGCCATGCCGATCAGCCCATTAATGCACGAACTTCGGTAAAGGAAGACGGGGTTGCAAAGTCTCGCACCGCTTCAACCTTCGATGGGTCAGGCTCGGTCTCTCGTGCTGATACGATGTCACCAAGGAATTCAATTGATTCTTGAGCGAACTGGCACTCTCCCGTTTGACTTTCAACCCTGCCGCGCGAATACGATTAAATACGTCATTCAAAATTAGCGGTGCTCTTCCCACGTCTCGGAAAAAAATATTATGTCATCAATGAAGACGAGGCACCCCTTCCTTCCCCTTCAAAACATTTCCCATCATGCGCTGAAACGTGGGGACGCGTTGGTTAAACCCTCTGAACATCCACACTCAAAAAATAAATTTTTAATAGAAAATTAATCATACTATCAAAATGACACAACTGTAGTAAAACAGTGCAGAAATGGCTGAATATTAGTGAAAGGCAGAATATTAGTTTTACCTTTTGCATATACATTCTATTATTTCACTGTCTGTAAGTCTTGTTGACCTGATAAGGAATTAAATCTGATAACTGATTTGATACAACTGAAGTAAAATTATAATAGAATAATTTCGTAAATAAGTTAGTACAACGCAGTTGCTTTGGCCTGGGTGCCTGTTAAATTAGTTAATTATTACTAACTGTCTTTCCAGGGAGACATTCATGGGAGTTGTGGCTTCCACCCTTTGAAAAATTTATTGGTAATATATACTTACTTTGAAATGAATTAATTTAATAAGAGGAATTAAGTAAATCCACTCAGTCTTTCAAGTATGCTTGTTTAACCTGAAACTCAGTGTTGTTGTCAAGCAAGCTGAAACTCTAGCCTTACAGCTCCCCTACCCCCCCCCCATCCCTCTTTAGGGTCTGGCTATGTCACATCATATTTCTGGTGACCTCTTATTAAAGATGATCATGGCCCTGGACCAATGAAATTGCTTGGATAAATTGGACTATACACATGCGATGCATACATCAATAAGAAGAAATTGCATAAAATTAAAAAATTAAAAACTTGCTGCGAGCTTTAAAAAATGTCGAACCCTGTATCCTTTTAAAGTCATTCCTTTGAAAATTCAAGAAAAAATTCAAAAGAGAAAGTAAAAGTTTCTATCTTAGTCACTAGGAAAAGGTATGTCCCAAATATTGCTAGGTTAAGGTTAGGTTAAGTTATATGATATTATTTATGAACTGGCTACAACTAGTTATTGCACTTGAAACTAAAATGCAAAATTATTACCTTGATCCTCTAAGTAACCAGTAAATCGGCCGATGATACCACTTGGGATTATTAATTTCTTCACTGTATTCATTTTCTGTTGAACTGATGATATAAAAACAGTCATTCATTACAGATATGAAAAAAGAAAAATGATTATTCTACGCAGAATCATATAAATAAGAATTACCAAAAAATTTTGAAACATTAGCACAATCTGAATTTTCATGTTCATACTAGTTAGCTACCTTTGTACTATGAATTACAATAGCTTTCTTGTCCATTGTTAAAAATCAGTGCACTGAGTTTAATGGTGCAGAGAGTCTTGCTCCAGCACAGCAAAATTATTTTTGTCACAGGTTTCACTTTAACACTCTTGAGTTTTATGATATGGATGATATGAAAGTTTCATAGCTTATTACTTACAGGTTTCATGTTATAAGTTCTACCTTAAATTAATAGTTTGTTTATAACTACATGGTTGTTCCTAAAGGACTGTCCATCCTTAACAAATATTGTTTTGAGTATATGCACAGATAATCTTGAAGAAAGCTGAATTAGCACTGGTATATAACAGATTTGTGTGTTTGCAATTACAGTCTGATTAGCATTGATGATGGTCTGGGCTTATGGACTGAATGCTCTCCAAAACTAAATTCCCTTGGTGTTTCCAAAAACAAAAAGGTTTTAAAAAAATATGTTTGTCACCAATTAGCACAGCTTGCATACATATAGATATCAAAATAAGGCATAATATAATAGAACTTATATGGCTACTAAAGTATTTTGTGCATTTAATTTGAGGAAAATAAGGCATACCTTAACTCTCTCATCCTATCTCCAAGTAACCCAGCTACAAATTGGATCACCAAATGCCACCTGGGTTTATCAATGTGCTCTTCTAGAAATCCTTTAACATTTTCAAGATCATCAACCACATGTAGTGCAGCCAGAAACTCTTGAATTGTAAGATGAAGGAAAGAAAAAATATCCTGACGACCAGTACTGTTCTCCAACTTATTGAAAACACCAGAATCTGATAATCCAGCCATGGATTTATCACTGGATCTATCAAAAATTAACTGATCATTTTCCATTCCATTCATTGCAATTCCCTTCAATTTGCTCAAGTCCTCTTGAAGCTGCTTTGGAAGTTCGGCAGTCAAATAATTTTTGTCTATTGGCTTATTCTTGTTTTTTGAATTGTGTTTTAACAGCAAAATCCTTACAGCTCTCTTGTACAGTTCAGTCATTGTTTTGGGAATTCTCTGGAATCATTCCCCTCATGTTCACCAAAATCAATGCTTTCATTTAATGTCAAGCACATAATTTGGCAATTAACAGGTATGTAACAGAAGCTTATAAGTTCAGGGGAATCCTTGATTATGTTCCACATTTCTGAACTTTTCTGTGTGTCATCACAACAGAATTTTCTAACAAACTCTTCTATTTGTATCTCACTAAAACCCAATATCTCCACTTGTCTATCAAAATTAAGATCTTGGTAGGCACTTCTGCTGTGGGTCGAGATGTGGTTAACACAGTAACTCCAGGCAATAGTTGATTATTCTTCACCAGCTGTTTGAAAATCAGATATATATGAGCAGGTTCATTTAGGCTGTTTACAGTTTTTCCACTAGTTAAATGCTCATCATCTACTTGAAGTTCATCCAAGCCATCAAAAACAAGGATGGTATTACTTGGTTTCTTGCGAATATATTTATATGGTCTCCTGGCCTTGGGCAAATCTACTGCCTTATTGAGACCATGAGCCTGATCTAACATTTCTTGAAGACTTGTTTCTCCCTTGTTAAAATTACGAAATTCAATCAATAGTACAACCTTTTCCTGCCAGAATTCCGGTATTTCGCGTTGTTGTAGACCTTGTTGCCACTCCTGAGATATTTTCTTAGTCAGTATGGTTTTCCCAATACCAGGTCTGCCAACCACAAGAACCGTTCTAGGATGGTCTTCACCAGCTTCTGCTGCTTGAAATAATTCTGTTGTACTGTTGAGGGGTTTGGAATTAGGGGGCTTTTCCAATTGAATATCGTAAATCTCATGTCTACCTTTCATTAATTCTCTTTCAGAATATTTGACACGCTCCCTTCCATCTTGAATTATAACATTGATAAACATTTCATCCAGTTTTCGTTCGTTCCCTCCTAACCCGTCATTCATAGTATATACACCTTGGAATATATTTTCTCGAATCATACAGTTTATATCCTGTTCGTCTGGATTAGTACGTTTTCTTAAAAGGTACACGGTAATGAACTCCTTATCAGTACGGAAAGTGGGTGTCTTCCATGCAGACCACAACAGATAAACAATCTCAACGAGTGTCACTGCATCGACGAGAAAATTTATCGTGATGAAGCCGACAACAACTTGTTGCTTCCCCCCACCAATTGAATAAGTACAGTCCACAAATGAAGAATTCGTAGTTGATATTGTAACGTTCTCATGGAAGGTACTAGTTGTTGCTTTCACATTTGGCAAAGGACATTTAAAATGGGTCGGAAAATTCGACGAGGTTAAGAGAAATGCTGAGAATATGGTCAGTGGTATTATACGACATACGATTAAATGGATTATGTAAGCCATAAATACAAAATAACGACTACTACCTGGATAGGCCACTGGTTCGTCTGGCGATACATCAGAGTGATCAGACAGTGGATGACTTTCTTCTACGC